TTGAGTGAGCGTGTTAGTGAGGAGTGTGTGAGTGTGTGAGTGAGTGAGCGTGTGAGTGTGTGTGTGAGTGAGTGTGTGAGTGTGTGTGTGATTGAGTGTGTGAGTGAGCGTGTTAGTGAGTGAGTGTGTGAGTGAGTGAGCGTGTGAGTGTGTGTGTGAGTGAGCGTGTGAGTGTGTGTGTGATTGAGTGTGTGAGTGAGTGTGTAAGTGTGTGAGTGAGCGTGTGAGTGTGTGAGCGTGTGTGTGAGTGAGTGTGTGAGCGTGTGTGTGCGTGTGTGTGTGTGAGTGTGTGCGAGTGTGTGAGTAAGCGTGTGAGTGTGTGAGTGAGCGTGTGAGTGTGTGAGTGAGCGTGTGTGAGTGTGTGAGTGAGCGTGAGTGTGTGTGTGAGTGAGTGTGTGAGTGTGAGCGAACAGCACTTGCCCCCAACAGTCTGTCAAGTCTATACGGGGGATCATTGTCTTTGGGATTGTGTGCACCAGCGGTGTCAAGATCGGCCTCTGTGGAGGAGGAGGCTCGTGAAGGACGCTACTGGGCAGCTGGAGGCAGTCGCCCTCCAACAACAACGGAGGGCGGAGGAGCGACGCTCACAACAACGAGCGGAGCGCCGGGCGGATAAAACGCAAGCGAGGTGGCACAGTATGGAGGGTTACAGGTGGTGGTGAATCTGCCAGTCGTCATCTCAGTCGGTCAACCCGATGGCACCGGCCAGTGCCTGTCCACGTGACCTCGTGCACCTAGCCTGGCACAGTATGGAGGGTTACAGGTGGTGGTGAATCTGCCAGCCGTCATCTCAGTCGGTCAACCCGATGGCACGTGCCAGTGCCTGTCCACGTGACCTCGTGCACCTAGCCTGGCACTCCCACAGGGTGGCACTGTCCCGCCTTTGTGGCGTCAATGATCACAGCGATGGCGATGGAGAGAGGTGGGGGGGGGGGCTTGGGCCTTGCGTGTGGCCGGGATGAGGACGCGTGGAGCTGGAACGATCGACAAGAGGCACCCCCCACCCCACCCCCCCCCCCCCCCCCCCACCACCCCCCCCACCACGGCTCATTCGGTCATTCATCCCCAGCCACTTTAATTCTTCGGGAAATGTCACTGGACTGGCAGGGGAGGAGGGGTGGGGTGGGGTTGGGTGGGGTGAGTGGGGTGAGTGGGGTGGAGTGAGTGGGGTGAGTGGGGTGAGTGGGGTGGGGTGAGTGGGGTGAGTGGGGTGAGTGGGGTGAGTGGGGTGGGGTGAGTGGGGTGAGTGGGGTGAGTGGGTCTGCTCTCTCATCCCCGCGTCTCTTCACATCTCCGCCTGCCACTCACCCCACCCCACTCACCCCATCCCACCCACCCCACAACACTCACCCTACCCACCCCACTCACCCCGCTCACCCCACCCACCCCACTCACCCCACCCTACCCACCCCACTCACCCCGCTCACCCCACCCCACCCACCCCTCTCCACTCACCCCACCCCACCCACCCCACCCCTCTCCGCTCACCCCACCCACCCCACCCCACTCACCCCACCCACCCCACCACCCCCACCCCACCCACCCAACTAACCCCACTCACCCCGCTCACCCCACCCACCCCACCCTCACGAGCGCCACGTGCTCAACAACAACAGTTACAACAACAACAGTAATGACAACAACAATAATGACAACAGTAAAAACAGTAACAACAACAGGAGCAGCAACAGTAACAACAACAATGTCGCTCGAAATACCGGGGAGGGGAGGAGGGAGGATTGATGGGTAAGCAGCAACCACCACCGCCAACCATCACCACCACCACTAACCACACCCACCAACCACCACCACCACCAACCACCACCACCAACCACCACCACCAACCACCACCACCACCACCAACCACCACCACCACCAACCACCACCACCAACCACCACCACCAACCAACCACCACCACTAACCACACCCACCAACCACCATCACCACCAACCACCACCACCAACCACCAATCACCACCACCACTAACGACAACCACCACGAATCAACCACCAACACCACCACGAATCAACAACCACCACCACCACCAATCACCACCACTAACCATTGGTATGTGCCTCTCATCATCATCACGGTGGCTAGGAGATGTTGACTACCTCGTCTGGTCTACAGGAGGGTCGTGGGTCGATTACCCTGGGAGATGTTGACTACCTCGCCTGGCCTACAGGAGGTCGTCAGTTCGATTACCCTGGGAGATGTTGACTACCTCACCTGGTCTACAGGAGGTCGTCAGTTCGATTACCCTGGGAGATGTTGACTACCTCGCCTGGTCTACAGGAGGTCGTGGGTTCGATTACCCTGGGAGATGTTGACTACCTCGCCTGGCCTACAGGAGGGTCGTGGGTCGATTACCCTGGGAGATGTTGACTACCTCGCCTGGCCTACAGGAGGTCGTCAGTTCGATTACCCTGGGAGATGTTGACTACCTCGCCTGGTCTACAGGAGGTCGTGAGTTCCATCCCGACCCCAATTACCATGGGAACCACCACCGTCTGAATTGCCACTCTCACCACACCGCCACTCTCACCGCACCGCCACTCGCTCATTAAGATGCGACACCAAAGTGTCCATGGTTGAATTAAAGTGAACTCTTCAAAAGATGAAGATTAACATTTCAA